CCATTGTTCAAAGTGCCTTCCTGTGCTGACTCATTCAATCCTGTTGCAGCCCTCATCACCATTTGATAGGTGAGGACATTAAGGTCTGGTGGTGTAAGTAAATTTCCTGCTGTCATACAGCTCTGTAGATGGCAGGGCTGAGATGCAAATCCAGAAGCCAGGCCCAAGAGCTTGACCTCTTATCTTCCCCATGAAATCACCTCCTAATGTGACAGGTGCTAGAGGCCCTGTCTAGAGGAGCCAAACCACGTGGAAGATGCAAGCTTCCTTCCAGGGTCTGGCTAGGGACAGGGGACAGCTCCCTTGCTGTCATCCAGGTGCTGGCTCTGCCGCCATCATCTGCGCTTCTGGGCCTGATGGCTTTGGGGTTCTAGGCAGTGATGAACCCTGGAGCTGGGGTTCAAACCTGAACCATCCCTGTGATTCCTGTCCCCAAATGATATCTCAGATCTACCCAGATAAGACTCAAGGAAAGTAACAACCTTGGTTGCCACTTATCAAGCATTTTGATGTACCAAGTTCCGTGCTAAGGGCTTTATATACAATATCTCAATTAATCCTCATACAAATAAGAAAAACACGTGGTGGTAGGTACCACTATTATTCTCATTTTCCAGATGAAAAACCTTGGCTCAGAAAATAGAGTGAACTCGCTTAGGGTCACCCAGCCCGGTAAATGGCCAAACTGTGATTTGGACCCAGGCTGGCTCTGCAGATTGGGGGGACCTGCCTCCTGAGTCCTCTTTGATGGAAGAAAGAACGTGCAAATGCCTCTCTCAGTCTGAATGGTATTTTAAAGTCCTTTTCTTGCTAAGAGGAAAGACGAAAGAAAAACAAAACCTGACCACTTCTCAGAAGTGTGCAGCATGTGGTGTGTCTCTGTCCTGCCATCCCCTCCCTCACCCCAAACGCCAGCTATAAGAAGACTTTTGTCTGCATGCGAAGGGGGTTCATTTTTATTGGGAACCTTCTCGCTCTCTGACTGGTTTGGAATCGAATAAAGATTTCCTTTTGACTCTGAAGAAGCAGAGTGTACCCAGCTACCTCTCCTGTTTGGGCCTGTAACAATGGAGAAGGGTGGAAGATGAGCCCAGGATTTGACAGTCCAGCACACGGTCCATCGTCACTGGGGGGTTCCCCTATGCACAAACACACACACACACACATGCACGCACACACACACACACACACACACACTCACACTCACCTGCCTCTCCCGCAGCAGCAGCATTAGAAAATCTGAGCACATCTTTCAGGCTCTTTGCCTGCTCTGGTTTTTAAAATTCAGGGCCACCTGCTAGTTTGGCCAGTGGCACTTCCTTGGCAGGGACATTCAGCTGTGTTCACTGTTCTGCCCTGGACAGAGAGGTGCAGTCAGTCTGACCCTGCACCCAGGCCCGCCGCTTCCCACGTAGAGTCAGGAGTGGAAGGAATTGAAGGATCCCTTGATGTGAGAGGGGTGCGGCCCCCTCCACCTGCTCTCTGTCTAATATTCCTTCTTCTAAGCACATTTCCAAGATGCAGTCTCTTTGTCTCTGCTTGTTTGGAAGTCATTCCTCATCTTGGGGCCAATTCTGCCCTCTCCTTCAGAGTGAGAAGGAGCCCCATTAAGAGAAACAAGGATGTTGGATGCATTTGGACTCCCAGTTACTTCTGAAGGACAGCCCCCAGTCCGGCAGGAACAAGTTGCCTGGCATTTCACATGGCCAAGGACCGGTACCTGGGTGAGGATGGGGACATTGAGTCCTGCAGAGGCTACATGAGATCCAGGAGCTGGCCAAAGCCTGAATGGATTTGCCAAGGAGATCTGAATGGGGTCTGGCAGGCTCTGCCTCCTCTGGGACTTGGGGAGGGGCCCAGAGGCATGGCCGTCTGCTTCCAGCCTCCATAAGGAGGGAAGAGCCTAGAAGCAGGCTGGCAGCATTTGCTGCAGGTTCCGACAGGGGTCCCCAGCAGGAGTTTGCTGAGAGAGCTGGGATTTAACACCTTGCAGGTTGAGAAGCTGCCAGTCTCCAAGGGGTGGAGGCTGAGCAGGAAGGCTTCTTTTTTTGTCTCTCACACCCGCATATTACTTCCGCAGCCCGGCAGCAGATGGGCAGATGGGGGCGATGCGTAGTGTGAGGTGTGCAGGAAGAAGCAGCGTTTGTTTCAAGACATGGGGAGTGGGCAAAGTTTCAATGTCTCTCTTCCAGGGGTGGAAAACTTCTGCTATTTCAAAATGGAGTGTGGAGTGGGAGAGGGCTGGGGCAGGATGCCCCTAAAATAGTTGAATGAACTGGCCAAGACCCAGCATTGGCACCAGACAGATTCAAGTTCAAATCTCTGCTCTGCCATCTAATACCAGTGGCTGATATGTACTGATTTTTCTGCTAAGAATTTTCCATGCATTATCTGACTTAAGGTTCATCAAACCACATAAAGTAGGTGTCACGTTTGACTCAGGTTTACTGAGGTTCTGAGGGAGGAAATAACTTGCCCAGGGTCACACGCCTAGTGAAGATAGGTGGAGCTAAGTCTCAAGCCTAGAGGCAATTGGACCCTGAATCACTGCTTGACAATTAGGGCCCTGATCTAGAGTCTTCTGACTTCCTAACCTCTGAGCTTGGGGAAGTCACTTTATTCCTCCATCCTTAATGTTCTGCATCTGGGAAATGGGAAAACGAATTTTGTCCTCTTAGAGTTCTTATGAGGCTTAAACAACAAAATACTTGTAAAGCTTTTAGTCGGTGCCTGGCCTATAACAATTATCATCACTCATTCACCCAACAAATATTTCCTGAGCACCTGGTACATGGCGGAGAGCATTCTGGGGGCACAAGCTAGGCAAGCTCTGGCTCTGTTAAAGGGAGTAATCAGATAATCCCCAGTAGGGATGCATGCTAGGAAGGAAACGAAACAGTAATGGCAGTGACTGCAGAGTTGGGAGGGCCTATTTTAGCTGGATGGCCAAGGAAGACTCATTGAAGAAGTGGCAGGTAAGCTTTGTTGTTAAAGGGAAAAGACGTGGAGGAAGAAGGACCTTCTACGTTTAGAGGGCAGAAAGTGCAAGGCCTGGAGCTGGGCAGGGAAGGGGGCTTGTATGTCTGGAGCAGTGAGGGCAGGCAGATGAGTGGTACTCAAGTCAAGACAGCCCATGAGGCAGGGTCATGAGTGTCACAGGAAGGTATTTGCACTGTGGACAGCCTTTGGAGGGCTTGCATCAAGAAGGCAATGTGATCAGATTTATTTATTTAAAAGGTTGCTTTGGGTGCTGAGTGGACAGTAGAATGTTGAAGGACAAGGGTGGATTCCAGAAGCCCAGAGCGGAGGTTGGGATTGCAGAGAGAGGTGGTGGGGCCAGCTGGCCAGGGAGGCTGATGCTTCCCACTGGGGAAGCAGGGCAGTAACAAGGAAGATCTGAGTGAAGAGACAAATTGGACAAGCTAGTAGTAGTTCTCACAAAAGGAACAAGACTCAGAACTCCCAGCTTGTCAAAAGCAGAGTTTGGGCTCCTTTCCTAACATTGTGGGAATATCACTACTGTGGCTGGGCATGATGGCTCAGGCCTCTAATCCCAGCACTTTGGGAGGCAGAGGTGGGAAGATCACTTGAGGTCAGGAGTTCGAGACCAGCCAGAGCAACATGGTGAGACTCTGTTTCTACAAAAAAATAAAATAATTAGTCAAATGTGGTGAACTTTTCCAAAGGTGGAAAAATTGCTTAAGCCGAAGAGTTCAAGGCCGCAGTGAGTGAGACCTTATCTCTTAAAAAAAAAGAGAGACAGAGAGAGAAAAGAAAGAAATATTACCACTGTCATTTGCATGGAGCAGTAGTTTGGGGGGAAGGTTATTGAACATAATTGCATTTACAGATTTTATGATACTAATCTAGATTTTTGTACAGAACTGGGGTAGATAAATGTTGTCTAAATATAGCTACAAAGTAAATATTTTCATTTTTATGGGCCCTACTGTCTCTTGCCTCTACCATTCAACTCTGCCATGATAGTGCAGAAGTACGCTAGTTAAAGGCAATACGTAAAAGAATGGGTATGATTGTATTCCAATAAAACTTTATTTACAAAAATGATCATTGGGCTGAATTTGGCCCAGGGATCATAGTTTTCCAACTCCAGTTGGAGAATATCATAATTGCATGACCCAAATAATTTTTTCTGAAAACCACTTTAAGACATTTCCTCCAAACTCTTGGGTTCAAAAATATGGTGCATCTTCCATGCCTGTGCTTATTTTCAACACCAGAAAATATGACACAGTGTAAAGACTACATACACAGTCCAGTGCTTTTCACATCTTACGGCTTCTGTGGCAGTAACTTAGCAGCCTTGGTGGGGCTGGGATGGAGGGTTTTAGCTCTTGCGTCTGCTTCTGCTTCAACTGGAAGGCCCTCTTTGATCCCTATTCTTTTTTATTGGTGGTCTTGATAAGAGTTCGTTTGAACAAAAGGGGTTGGGAGCAAGAAAAAATTTGAAACTATCAATCCAGTCCAACTGGTTGGAAATATTCTCTCCCATCTAATGTCATACATTAAAAAGGTATTTATTACATAATTGCTCACAGAATAAATTAACACATGGATTTCCTGAGTGACTGTGGGCGGGGGTGGGAGTCCTGCAGAGAATACAGCTGTGGGGAGGATCTACGTTCTGACCCTTTTAAACGAGGCAGAATGATGAAGCGGCTTGAACTTGACATTCTGACCCAGTTAGGCTTGAGTCTCTGCTCTGCCCCTTAGTAGTTAAACAAGTTATTTGTTTGGCTTTCTGATTATCTGTTTTCCCAGCTGGAAAATTGGGATGATACCACTTCCCTTCCCAAGCTGTTGGGTGGATTAAATGAACTGATTTATGCAAATTGCCTAGCACATTGCCAGCTGCTTGAGAAATATCAATTTCCTTCTTCTTTTCCTTTATTCATTCTGCTTTCAGGAGTGTGGACCTTCTCCTGCTGCTTTCCTGTTGGCCTCAATTGTCTCATCCCAAACTCTCTTTTTCTTCTTAGGATGTGGCCAGGTTCTGCGAACACCAAAGGGTCAGATTTTGTTGGAGAGCTACCCACTAAACGCTCACTGTGAATGGACCATTCATGCCAAACCTGGGTTTATCATCCAATTAAGGTAAGGGGCTAGAGACAGAATCAAGGAGCCTGAGGTTGCAGGAAACAGTAATGGGGTAGAGGGCCCTGGATCTCATGACCACAGGTCAACCAGCAGCTCTTTCTTCTTAAAAGCAGAAAATGTGCGTTGGAGCTATTCTCTTTACCTCTCAGTGATTCTGTGGGGTTAGGCCTGGTTAAAACTGTAGTCAGCTAAACCCTTGTCATTCACTGCTCTAGAGCTGTGGGGCTCAGATGGTTGTACCCCAGGATGACACCAAAATACCGAGAGCCAAATACTGAGATCAGTCTAGCCATCCACAAATCTTGAATGAAACTTCCTGCTGCCCCCATCTTGGGCTGGGTTCTAGGAAGGGATGTGAAGAACTAAAGGGCACGGCTCTTGCTTTGAGTATATTTATATTCAGATTGGAGTTTATATGTGTCATGGCTGTTCTCAGAAAACAGCAGATACCCTGCAACAAATAAGCCACTTCTCCCTCCTGTGTGGACAATAAGCCGTTTCTTCTTAGGGAGCCTTGGGGGCCTCACAGATGTGTAAACTGTGCCATAGTCCAAAGTATAGACCCCATTTTACTGTAACTACTGGAAAAGGCTACAAGGCAGCCCTGTTTCATAAGAACCACTCATCATTGCATCCCGACGCCTGGAGCAGCTCCTGGCACATTGTAGGTGCTTGAGGGACGCTTGCTGTATGATTAAGTGTCAAAAGGGCTGCTCTGGGACGCTAGTATGTGTCCTCTGTCCTCTGGGAATCACCTCCCTCATTCCTTGCCAGGTATCCAGGGCTGCTCACTCTCCCCTAGGGTCATTGTCCACTTAGCTCTTTCATTTTAAACCAGTGGTGAGAGTGGAGAGGGTCAAAATCCCTGATCCTCCAGAGCACAAGCTTTCAGTAGGCTTTTTCTGGGTGGATCAATGGGGCCCACAGGATGCCACATGCCAACTGGCTCCATGAATGGCTCTATGTCCTCCAAGAGGGGCAATTCAGAGCCATGAATTAAAATGATCCAGCAAAGCAGCTCACCTCCCAATCCCCCTCTTCCAAAGTGCAACATGGTAGCTGGGGTCCCCAGCCCTTGAGGACCTGAGGTTGGGAGTGAGTTTCATTAGCTGGGCTTTCCTACAGGGAGGCTGGTTCAAGGGACAAGGGAGGGGGGTTCACTATTCTGCCTCATGAACTCAAGGCCAGGTCTGCCAGGGAGTCCAAAGGTAGTTGTTAAATGCTTCATGTTCATGTTTTAGCAGCTCAGGGGCCAAGACCAACTGTCTCCTCAGGGCCTCTGAAGAGCTTCTCCAAGATCCAGGATGCAAAAGGAAATCCCACAATCTTAGCACAGTGGGAGATTGAGGATTGAGAAACATGTCTGCTGCCCACAAGGGCCCCATGGAGGTGTGGAGTATGGTGAATTTCTTTCCACCTAGTTCAGCGGTTCTCAATCTGTGGGTCACGACCCCTTTGTAACCATGAAGATACATCATGGCATTAGGAAGGTTGAGAACCACAGGCCTAGTTAAACCTGGACCTCCTGCCCAGGGGGGATAATCACGATGGAAACTCTCAGCGGCAGATGCTTCGTGTTCAGCTGAGAAGCTCAGCAGTCATCCCCGCCATCCCATGTGCATCACCTACCTTATCCAGGCCCCCACAAAATCTCTTTTCTTACCTGTAAAATAATCTCACATCCATCTGTGTCTCTATGTCTCTGTCCCCACGGCCACCATTCTACTTTAAGCCATCTCCGTCTCTCATAGGGATTCTGTTGTGGCTTCCACTCTTGCCGGCTCTGCCATCAGCTCTCTGCAGAGTGACTAAAGTGAGCCTTTAATATCCCAAATCTGATCATTATTCTCTTGTCGAAAACTGCCAGTGGGTTTCTATTGGGTTTGGAATCAAATCCAAATTCCCTACCATGCAGAATCTAGGGATCATCTTCCCCTTACCATCTTCCAGCATCCCTGGCTTTCTTCAGTTCCTCAAACATGTGGAGTTCACATGTGCCCCAGGGCCTTTGCACTTACAGACTCCCCTGTCTGGCCTGCCCTGCCCCAGGACCTTGGCATGGCTGGCTTCCTGGCATCATTCAAATATCTGCCCTGATGTCACATCCTCACAGAGTTTTTATGTGACTACAACATGTCAGAAACTTCCCCTTCCCCCAACCCAAGTCATTCTTTGTCTCTTCCCTGATTTATTTCATTCATAGCATGGAGCACTCTCTGAAGCTACCTTGAGTTTTGGTCTTTTTGCTTATGTCTGTCTTCTAAATCAGAACTCATCTCTGTGAGGACAGGCACTATGCCTAGTTGGGTCACTGCTTGTTGACAGTGTCTGGTGCACAGAGCCAACCTCCAAAATATGTGTTGCGTAAATGAACAAAGAAATGTATGCAGGAATGCAATTACAGTTGCAGTGTCTTATTTCAGCTTCAAATAAAGCTGTGGTCTCTGTTAGGAGGTGGGCTTGCCCTCACTTTTCAGACAAAGATATCAAGGACAAGAGAGGAACTGATTGCTCAGGGCCCACAGTGAGTGCGTGGTGGCTCTGGATGAGAAGCCAGATGTCCTCTTAGATATTAGAGCACATTTCACAAGGTGGATTTCATGGGGCTTACACATGGCAAAGGCCTATCAATAATGATTATGCTCAGTTATTGGGTTTCTTTGTTAGTAGGAGTTTTTAGATCATTTAAAATACCCTGATTGTCACCACATTCCAGTGTGGAATCCCGGCGTGTGGAGGTTTTACCCAGGTGGGAGAAATAACCCTAGTCTCAACTTTTCAGGTGGCAATTCTGAGCCTTTCTGTCTATTTCTGCTGCTTCTGTAGAGTGTGGAGAGAAGATACAGACATGAACTTAATACTCAGACAACTCTCTTGGGGATCTAGGAATGTCTTTCCTCTCTTGCCCTGGGCTGGGGCGGCTGCTTTTCTTGTCTCTTGGAATCGGAGGTTTAGTGTTGTCGTCTGCATTTCCAATCTGATGTCTCCTGATGTTTTTAGACCCAAGATCCCTTTTAGATAAACACAGATGTATCCTATCTCCTTCGACCCTGAAATTCCGATTTGTGCTACTTTCTTTACTCTTTGGGGTGAGAAATCTGTTAGCCAGAAGACAATTGCCTTCTGATCTTCCATCAGACAGCTGAGCGTGCAGGAGTTTTTTCCCTTTGCTTGGTCTTACAAGACAATATGAGCTTTTTCTATTCTCCGACTATAAAATTATCATATCATAACCATTTAGTTATCTACTATGTATCCAACAATGTTGGTTTAGCATCGTCATGTGCCAAGCACTGTGCTGGGTGCTGTGAAAACGATGATGGAGCAGGACAAATGTTCCCAGACAGATGTTCCTCACTGCCCTTAAGGAACACGCAGGCTAGGGAAGCAGACAGGCCAGAAAGACAGTCAAGGCGATAAATATAAGAGATTAAAATTTGTGTCTACGTTATGAAGAAAGCAAGAGTTTTCCTTCAGATTAGAGGATGTGGAAGCTGAGGTCTGAGGATGGGAAGGAACCAGCCATATTGGGAGGAAAAGTATCTCAGGAAGAGGGACCAGAACAAGCGAGTATTCTCGGCATGGATCATGCACCTCCCTCCCCCTGGGCATGCGTGTGTGCACACATGCAGACAGTATGCACAGAATACTTCTGTACTCCTCTGTTCAAGGAATTCACCTGATCTCTGGTGCTCTAGGGCCACTTTCCTAACAGATCAGGCCAACGGTATCATCTGTTCCCAAGACCGGTTCATCGTCTGGCCTTGAACATGCCCGGGGCACATTCCCTTCTGTCTCCCTCTCTGCCCCCAGGTTTGTCATGCTGAGCCTGGAGTTTGACTACATGTGCCAGTATGACTACGTTGAGGTCCGTGATGGAGACAACAGCGATGGTCCGATTATCAAGCGTGTCTGTGGCAATGAGCGTCCGGCTCCCATCCAGAGCACCGGCTCCTCACTCCATGTCCTTTTCCATTCTGATGGCTCCAAGAATTTCGATGGCTTCCATGCCATTTTTGAGGAGATCACAGGTAAAGGCCGTGGAGACGTGGTCCACTTTGGGTGGACCTCCCTTCTCCCTGCTCAGCCTTGTGAAGACCTAGCATGGTGGGCTCCCAGAAGCAGGAAGAAAAAAAAAAAGGAAGAAATGGGAATGTGTATTTCAGAAAAGCTTCAGAATTATTATTTTCCTTATACAGGTAAGTTGCCTGGAGCACAGAGAGGCTGGATAGTCTCTCCCAGGTCACAGGCTATGGGGGCAGAGCTGGAGATTAGGGGCCAAGCAGTTTGGCTGTAGTGCTTACGTGAGGGGGCCTCTCATAGTTAAGAGTATTGGCTTTGGATCTCTGGCAGATCAGATCGAGCTGTGTGACCTTGAGCAAGTTCTTTCACTCTCTGGACCTCAGTCTTCTTATCAGTGATAAGGGAATAGCTATATATCCTGCTCCATTAGGGAGGCTCTGGGAGACAGAACTAATGAAGTGCTGAATATAGTCTGGTACACAGTGAGCACCCAAGAGCCAGCCACCCCAGGTGTACCTTTCCCCTCTGTTTGCCATCTGATTAAAAGTCTTAGATTGCAGTGGCAAATGTCATTTACTCAATGAATAATTCTAAGCCTACCTTTCACTGTTTCTCCTGTCATATTAAGAAGCAGAACCTGACCAAAATGATCTCAATGCTTCACCTTAAGAAATCACCCCATTCTCTTTGTTCTGAGTTTGGATCACATCAGGTTTTACAAAATAAACTTAAGTTTTAGGTTCAATTTTTAAAAATAGTAGTTATCATGAATTCAGCTAAAGGAACATTACAAAAAGACTTTAGTAAGACTTCGGCCAAGATGCCGGGCTTGAAGACATCCGCTGGTGGCCTGAGGAAAGCCTTTTCTTTCAGCGTGTTCCTCGTCACCTTGTCTTCACGATGGCACTTGCTTCCTTGACAAAGCTGGATCTTACAAGTGTGCCTGCCTGGCAGGCTACACCGGGCAGCAGTGTGAGAATCGTGAGTATGCCTCCCACATGGGAGTTCAGGGGTCCCGTGGGGCTGGCATGGAGAGGGCTCTGGGAGCTGCGGGCCTATTGCTTCTTGGCATCTAGGATAGTCTGTGAAGTTGGCATGTGGTGTGGGTGCTCCCATTGTGTGGTGCTCAGAAGGGCAGGCTTGCTCCTGAGTCAGGTTGTCTGGAACTGCCCAGCTTTGCCCATTGCCATTTCTAGCCCTCACCTGCTACAAATTCCTCTCTTCAATAGCCTTGAAGAATATTCAGAGCCCCCAAAAGACTGAGAATTGGTCAGTGATTGAGAGCCACCATGGTAAACATGCCTGTGGCTCGGAATCTGGCTCCCTGTCCACCCTAAGATCTGGACTTCAGAGTTACTCTCCAGGGCGCCCTTCATAGTGTTGATTGCAGTTTAAAGCCCTACAGTGAGGGCGGGGGAAGGGTAGGGTGACCATGAACTCCAGTTTCCCAGGGACAGTCCCAGTCTGTGTATTTCATCTGAGTGTAATTATGAATAGCTTCCTCTTTCATGCTCAAAAGTGCCCTGAATTTGATGACAAATTACACGTACATCCTATAAATGGAAGTCAAGGTTAGGGGAGTCACAGACAAACCAAACATTTATACAGGGAAGAGCAGGTGCTGTGGAAATGCAGAACAGAAGGTCACCTGGCCTTTCTCGGAAGGAGCTAATCCTGACCTGCTCAGACAAACTCCATGCCTCTTCTGGGGAGGTGGGACAACCAAGGAGTCATAGCTGAAGAAAATTCTTCCAACCGTGCAATCCCCCAGCTGCCTGTCTCTAGCACAGCTTTCCTTTCACTCTACCCTCCTTCTGGCTGTACCCTGCCTGGCTGTACCCTATCTATCCCATTGAATCACCCAACTTCTCTACTTCTTGCAGACAGTGGTCAAAATCAGAGCAATAATACTCTCAGGGACCTAGGGTCAACCAAACGGGGCAGAAGCAAGGGGAAGCCAATTCAAGCAAATGACCCACTCCAAAGCAGGCAGGAATTTCTAATTCATGTTCTTGAAAAGGCAGGACATGACTCTTTGATGTTAAAGTCAGACTCTTGCCAGTGATGATGAACTAGAACTTGCTGAGTCTAAGCATGTATCTACAGGGCAAATCCTTCACCCTTGGGAAGAGTACATGCAGGTCACTGCATGTGGGGCACAAGGACTGTCCAGCCTACTCTGCACCATTTGCAAACAGGACTTAAATACTATGACCTGATATTACTTACCAAGGGTACCAGGTAACAGGAACCTATGTATGTCATGGGTTCTAACAGAAATTTGAGACCCAAAGCAGGTATCACAAACTTCAACTATCAGCAGTGACTGAGATGTGTGTAAGAACAAGAAGAATCAAAACTCAGGGGCAAGCAAAGGAGGACAGATAGTGTCCCCAGCAGGGTTCTCCAAAGCAGATGTGGAGAGGAGGATGTGTGTAAGAAGCTCAGCAGGGAAAGCAGGAGAGCCAGCCTGGCAAGGGAAGGGGTCCAAGCAAGGGTGTGATTTCAGGCAGAATCCCAGCTGCACTGTCCAGCAGTGATATCTGGAATACAAATGATTTCTCAGAGTTTGCCCCAGCTTTAAGGCAAGGGAGCTGGGTTTCCATGTCCTGCAGCAGTGAGTCAGTCATTGCTAAGGGCTTCCCTGATGGAATAGGAGGACAGAAGCCCTGTGCATGCCTGTGCATAGGGGTAATGTGGTTCCAGCAGACCCTGGAACAGTTCTTTGAAAGAGTCACACATGCAGGGAGGGGCCCACAAGCCGTGAGAATGGACCAGAAGGCAGAGCACCAATGGTATCTGCAACAGTCATCTCTAACTCTATGGAGGCCTTGTCTGCCAGCACTGTCTGAAGTCCATACATTTTCCCAGTTAATTTTCATTAGTGTTTCCTTGCAAACAATGCAGAGGGAAGCCATGGTTTCAATAGCGTGGCCCTGAGTGTGCCCTTGAGTTCTACTAAAAGCATCCTTGCCCTGGCTTGGCACAGCTGACTCAAGTGTGGCGATGCTAGAGGCTTAGAAAATGATGTTCTCCATGGGGGTGCCTGCCTCTTTGTGTGCAAGTCAGACCAGAGAAATGTTGTTTTTCTTTGTTTCCATCGTTGGTTCATAGAGTTCGATTCTAGACTCTTGATAATGGCAAGTCCTGAGCTTTCCCCTTCAGATTCAGAGGAAGAAACAAAAAAGAGAAAAAGGCTTAATTTCTTGAATTGACGACATAATATGAGAGCTTTGATAAACAAAGGTAAAGCTGGAAAGAAGGAGAACATCACCAAATAAGCCAAACTGCCTTTAAGAAGCTGGGTCACATCAGGGAAGAAAAATAAGTTATTGTTCATCACGAAAAAAACATAATGAGAAAAGAATATAAAATAAGCCATATGAACTGATTCATAAATTGATTCACAAACTGTCTCAAATACTTTAATAAAACACCGGCATGGATGGGCAAGAGAATTCTCCTTTGGTAGTTTTCAAAATATTGTTCAAAATCCATAATCCCCTTAGTGCCAAGGGTGAAGATATTAGTGGCAGATAAGTGATTTGTCATTTACTGCCCTCAGTATGGGGGGGGACTAAATGGTTTTTGTTTTTTATTTTTATTTTCTGTAAGATGCAGGTTTGTTTTTCCTTCTAGGAAATTTGGCATAAGTTGCGACTAACTCAGTGGGGGCTGCATCACACAAGTTTGGCAAGAGCGGTTTACCTTATAATTTCTGAATAACCCGTAACTATTTTATCCAGAGCAGCCTGTCAGCTAGAAAAGCAAAAAAGAAGAAACAGATTTACTTTATTGCTTTCCTCATGAGGATACTAACTAGAAAATTCCCCCTCGGGATAATTCTTCCAAAATTAGGAAGAAACTCAAGCACCTGGGATTCTCCAAACTCTGAAATACTCAAATTGGATTAGACTCTTGCTTTTTAGAAAAATAGCTATAAAAGCACCAAAGCCAAAATCAATGAGAATTCTATCTTTTATTTATTTAGTACCAAATCTGGTAAGGGGGAACCACTTGATAAATGCTGTTTCCCTGACCTCTCCTCTTAAAGTTGCTGCAGAAAGGTGGATGGTCCTCTTTGCAGATGAATGATTTGAAACAGAGGGTGCAAGATACTGGTCCCCATCAAATTCAAATTCTGAGACCAGAATTCTACCTTTCCTACATAGTTCACAATGTCTCAGACATGGTTCTTGCTGTGCAACTTGAGGAGACTCCCGATGATTGATTGACAAGCTCTGATTACCCGTGTCCTATTATTGAGAACTCTCAAAGGACTTTACTTCCTAGCTAAGGCTCATCTGTGTCTCTCTTGCAAAGAGTCTTGGACAGTTTCTTAACAGAAGCTATTTTCTTTATTTTCTTTCCGTATGTTTATGTTTGTGAGTAGGATAGATAGGAAATAGATTTTCTGTTTACAATAATACCTCTATAAATGGCTTGGCTCAAGAGGTAAGGCACCAGCCACATACACCTGAGCTGGCAGGTTCGAATTTAGTCTGGGCTCGCCAAACAACAATGACATTTGCAACCAAAAAAAAAAAAAAATAGCCAGGTGTTGTGGCAGGCACCTATAGTCCCAGCTACTTGGGAGGTGGAGGCAGGAGAATCACTTGAGCCCAGGAGTTGGAGGTTGCTGTGAGCTGTGATACCACGACACTCTACCCCAGGCGACAGCTTGAGGCTCTGTCTCAAAAACAAACAAACAAACAAACAAACCTCTATAAGTTGAGCACCCAAGGTACTGCAGCAAACTGATCAATATACAGAGGTGGTCAACTTAAGGAAATAGGCCTACTGTACTGATATCTTACAAGTGGTGCATGTTTAGCATATGAAAATTGGGTCCCTTAAGGAAGTAGTCAATGTAGGGGGTATTCTGTAATTAATTACAGAAATAAATGAGGTCTGACAATTAAGTTCCTGAACTTGCTACCATGCACTTACATTGCAGCACTGTATAAACAACTCAGTAAGGTTCCATAACCTTAATATATCAGTTTCTCACAGCTGTGTTCACGCCAACATGTGGCAGTGTCTTGCTGAAAGGTATTCATTGTTGTTGCATGTTGTGTGCCATTTTGAGTATGTTGGAGCTTGAATTAAAGCAATGAACAAACATTAAATTTCTTGTTAAACTTAGCAAGAGTGGAAGTGAGATCAGAGACATGTTAGCCCAAGTTTATGGGGATAATAACATGAAGAAAATGGCAGTGCCCAAATGGATTGAACATTTTTCTGAGAGGAGAGAAAGTGTCACTGATGAACAGAAGTCAGGGAGCCAGCAATGAACAGAACTGGTGAAAACATTGCAAAAATTCATAAAATTGTGTGTCAAAATCATTGGCTGACTTTGAGAAGACCAAGTAAACATCAATAGAGAAATGAGTAGGAAAATGTTAACTGAAAATCTTGGCCAACAACTCATGGTTCTTGCATCACAACACTCACCAGCTATCATGGCGCTGTCTATGAGGGAGGGTTTAGCCAGTAAATAAATAATTTTATTGGAACACCCTCACTAGTCACCTGATTTGGCCCCCAATGACTTTTTTTCTTTACCAGAAGGTAAAAAAATATTGACAGGAAGACATTTTTACGATATTAGAACCATATGATGACAGCCAATTCCTGGCCATTCCAGGAAAAGGATCCTTAATGTCAGACCTTGAGTACTTATCCAAAAAAATTAAACAGTAGGTATGTAAAATAAAAAATAGTTTTCTCTGGCCAATCCAATTCTCACTAGAACTCCTATTGGAAACCTGGTACATATGCTTCCAGACTTGTTTCTATGGCCTACAAATCTAAGTTGCCTATGTCATTATAGTGGTTCTCAGCTGGGGGTGATATGGTTCTTCATCTTACCCACAGAGGGTATCTGGCAATATCTGGAAGCAGAGCTGGTTGTTGTAGAAGTGTGCGAGGGGAGTGCTGCTAGCATCTAGTGGGTAGAGACCAGGGACATTGCTAAACAT